CCCAAAAATGGAATTTGGGAAAGCGGGGAACCTTTGGGGGGGGGGGGGGGGTCCATGAGACGGCAGAACTAACCGGTCCTGAAACCACAGTAAATCATTGCGAAAAAGATAGCCCTCACTCACTGGCCGTCCTTGGCGGATGTCGCTGATGATGTCCTGACAATCGGGGTCCTCGAGTTGACCCTGAGTTGGATTGATGAGGAACGGAAAGAGCTACAAACTCCACTAGAGAATCGTCCCCCCTCCGCGAGAGGGCATCTGCGACCCGATTCGCGGCGCCCAGTTTGTACTGTACTTTATATCCTAGCAGCTTGGTTATTAAGCGCAACTGTTCATGTGGTAAAACACGCTGATTCAAGAGAAATTTAAGACTCCGTTGATTGGCATGAATGAGAAAATGCCGCCCCAAAAGGTAATGCCTCCATCTTTGAACGGCCAAAACAATGGCGAGAAATTTCCACTCATAGACTGATTTCAAACGGGAAGAAGCGGAAATCATCTTGCTAAAATAAGCGATCGGCCTTCCCTCTTGCATCAGTACTGCGCCAACCCCGCTGCCCGAAGCGTTGGTTTCGAGGACGAACAATTTAGTGAAATCCGGCATGGCCAACACTGGGAGCTCTGTCATTGCGTGCTTAAGTTGGAGGAAAGCAGCCTTTGCTGTGGGGTTCCAGCTGAAAGTTCCTTTCTTGAGCAAATTAGTGAGGGGACGGGCAAGGGATCCGTATCCCTGAACAAAACGCCTATAATAGTTCGTGAGGCCAAGGAAACCCCGTAGCTCGCGGACATTCTGTGGAGAAGGCCATGACAACATTGCGCTGACCTTGGAATCTGCGGAAACACCCTCAGCCGAAAGTACATGCCCTAGGCAGTTGATCTGCCCTTATCCAAAGACACATTTTTCGAAATTAGCAAACAAGGCCTCTTTTCGCAGCACTTCCAAAACGCTCCTTAAGTGAGTGTAATGATCCTCCCACGTCCTGCTATAAACCAAGATATCGTCAAAAAATACCAAAACAACTTTCTGTAAGAGGCGGAATACCGAATTCATTAGAGCTTGGAATGTGGCCGGTGCGTTGGTAAGGCCAAAAGGCATGACGCGGAACTCGTAATTCCCCTAATGCGTCCGAAATGCCGTCTTTTCCACATTGCTCTCGTGTACCCTAATTTGGTGGTAGCCAGACTTCAATTCAAGTTTGGAAAACACCGTCGCCCCGTGTAACTCGTCGAGTTGCTCGTCAATGATTAGAATCAGAAATTTGTCCGGGATCGTTAGTTGATTCAGCGCTCGATAGTCGATACAGAAACGCCAACTACCATCTTTAATCGGACCAATAATACCGAGCTAGCATATGGACTACTGCTAGGCCAAATAATGCCTGATGCCATCATGTCCGCGACCAGTCTCTCTATCTCGGCCTTTTGAACCTGAGGGTATTTATAGGGTCGGATGTTGGGCGGGGATGCACCCTCACGGAGGACAATACAGTGCTCCCTTGCCCGTCGTGGAGGCAAACCTTCAGGCATGCTGAATACTGTTTGGAACTCCTGGATGAGGTGCTCGCACCCTGTGGAAGTGGCCGTATTTCTCCCTCAACTTCTCCGTCTTGGGCTGCGCGAATTTCAAGTAGCACCCCAATCCCGTGATGGTTCCAGATTCGCGACAAGGAACGCAGGCTAACCGGAGAATAACTTAAGGAGGGATCCCCTGTCCAACAGATCCACTCCGTCCCTTTCTGGAACTGCATGGTGAATTTAGCCCAATCTGCTCGGACTTCCCCTAAAGTCCTTAGCCACGAAATTCCTAACACCAAATCAGCACTGCCCAGTTCAAATGGGAAAAAATCTTTGACTACCCAATGCCCTTGTACGAACACCTTGACCCCACGGTAAATACCACTTTGCTGAAAACTCATTCCATTACCCACCTCAATCTTGTGGCGGACGGACAAATCCGTGGGAATGGCCAGACTGTGCACAAGATCCGCGGCTATGAAGCTGTGAGAAGCCCCACTGTCCACCAAGATGTTCACCTCTTGCTCACCTAGGGCTCCCTTTAATTTCATAGTTTTTGCCGTCGCCATACCTTTGAGGGAGTTTAGAGAGAGCCCCAAAGCTTCCTCCATCGAACCTCCAGTCACTTTGGCCGGCTCTTCCCCCTCCTCACGACACTCTTCTTCGCTACCCTCGTCCTCACCCACTGCAAGGAGAACTTGCAGTTGCCGATTTCGGCACTTGTGGCCTGGGCTGAATTTCTCATCACACTTGAAGCCTAACCCGCGAGCTCGCTGTTGTTGGACCTCGTCGTACGACAGTTGCCGGTAATTGGGTCCGCCTCCCACCGTCGAACCAGTAGCAGTAGGGGAATCTTGATTCGTTGGTTAGCCCTTGGTCATGCGGTATTTGGGATCGAAGAGAGCTCTCAAAGTTATCTGCTGTGCTAAAAGGAGTTGGATTCGGGTTCGGATTGCTAAATCTAGCTCTCCCGCCCCACTCCACACGGGTATATTAGCCCGCCCGAGCCTTCCGGATCCGATCCAACCGGTCTTCAGCCTGTTGGGCCAAATCCATGGCCGCAACTAAGTTGATGGGCCTGTGTATTTTGACCTCAGTCCTTATGTCCTCCCTCAGCCCATTAAGAAACGTTCCTCTGAAGACGCTCTCCGGTATTCCCCTCATTGCAGCTGCTAGGGACTCGAACTCCTTTATAAACTCCGCCACCGTCCCTCCTTGCTAGAGAGCCATCATTCTCTCCGTTGGGTCTCCCTCCCGAGAGCGGCCGAAGCGTTGGAGGATAGCATCCCGGAGGTCTCCCCAACCCACGAATGGCTCTTAAGCATCCAGCCATTGATACCAACCGATAGCTCTTCCCTCCATGCAAACTGAGGCCGCCATCACCTTCTCTCCCTCTTCGATGTCGTTAATGGCGAAGTACCGTTCGGCTCGAAAAATCCACCCGTGTGGATCCTCTCTATGAAATAATGGAAGTTCAAGTTTCTTACCTCGGTGCTTGACCTGCGCGCAAGGCCTATCTGGAGACCGGTAACGGTGGTAACCATCTCTTCCCCTCGCCTGATCTCTCTTCGGAGGACTTGGATCCGCTCGGGCCGGACAGCCAGGTTCTTGCTCGGGTGGAGTTTGATCATTCCGGATTCCTCCCGGGGGCGAGTAGTCCTCCCTGGGCCTCCTTGGAGGTGAGCGTTGGTTGCGAGCTTGTCTGATCATGAGCTCTTCGAGCCGGTTGATCGTGCCTTGAATACCGTCCACATTGGCTCCCATCTCGGCGACCTCTCCTTGCACCTTGCCAAGCCTTACTCCCATGGATGCCACCTCCTCCTGCAACCTTGGCACCGGATCCACCAACGTTTCGAAGGATTGCAAAGTATCCGGGAAGCTGTTCAGCCTTCTCTCCACCTGACCCAATCGATCTTGCTGGTTCACCATGGATCGAAGTTCTATGATACCAAATT